CTTCAGGCACTTGCTGCAGAGAGGAAGGATGTTGTCCAACAGTGGGTGTGACAAGGGATCAGAAGTAGAGATCTGGGATGTCACAGGGGTAGCAGCCTGGGTGGATCTCTCAGGGGACCCACAGTGACGAGGTGCAGACTAGCTCCCTCAAGACACAGTCCCTGGTGTGCAGCAACTCTGCCTCAGCAGCAGTGTTAGAAATGCCTCCATTTTCAAGATCAGTGTTCCCAGGTCTGACCAGACGTGTGGGTGTGAACTGCAGGAGGATTTAAGATACAACTTTAAGAAGGAAATATTACATGTGGCTCCTTGGAAGTGCTCTGGGGGTGGACCTGCTCAGCCACCAGCTGCCACCCCACTCCTGGGACATACAGGAGAGCTGGACATTGGCTCCTTCCACTCCCAACTCCATGATCCTTTGTGGGGACCTCTCCTACAAGAGCTGCTGGATGCTCTCTCTCATTTCCATTTTCCACAGGACTCCAGGAAAGCACACACTCCCAGACAGATTTGTTGTCAGAATCAGCTCGCTTGCTTTGGCACAAATATTTTTCACTAGAGCTAAAATGTTCCAAAATATTCCAGATAAACACAGGGATGATAGTGCTCATCCAGGGTGACAACCTGGCCAGTAGCACATGACCAGCAGATTAAACCAGACACAATCCTTTTAGAAATTAGATGTAAAGACATGTAGAACAGTTGGGTTATAGAAAAAATACAGCAAAAAAGGGTGATTTTTATACACCACGTCTCCCTACCATCCCTTTATTACAAGAAACCCACAAATAAAACACTTGGCATGGCAGGGTTGTGTGTTATGCCTTGTGGATTAAGGGAGAAAAGAAAGGTGGGGGGTTCTTAGGTTGCTTTTCACTTTTCTTCAAGGTCTTTGCAAAACAAAACTGTAAAGCTCTGAACTCAGCATCAGGCACCACAGTAAAATCCATCAGTCTGATCCTTTCTGAGCAGTGAGGGGAGGACAGTTCCCAAGGAGAGCCCACTCAAACAGCACCAGGAAGGACAGTGACACATCACAGCCACCTCATCTTCCCACTCCAAGTTCCTCCTGTCATTTCACAATTTCTCCTGGACAACTGGGATGTTACCTTCCTGCTGAGGAGCCCCCATATAATCCAAGGCATTTTAAAGACACTCAAAATACTCATTTTTCCTGCATCTCCAATGTGAAACAAAGAACACTGAGACTCCACCAACACCTTTTTCATCAATCACCCTTCACCAAGAAGTCACAAACACTGTAGGTGACCAGGGGAGAGAGGAGAGCACCATTCCCTGGCTGTTCCCACAGGCACACAGAGAGCTCACAGAATCACCAAGGCTAGAAAACACCTTTAAGATCATCAAGCCCAACCTATGACCAAACACCGCCACATCACCAGACCATGCCACTAAGTGCCACATCCAGCCTTTCCTGGAACACCTCCAGGGATGGTGCCTCCACCACTTCCCTGGGCAGTTCATCCCAAAGTCTGATCACCCTTTCCATGAGGAAGTACTTCCTAATATCCAACCTAAACCTCCCCTGGAGCAGCTTCAGGCCAGGCCCTCTCCTCCTGTCACTAGTGGCCTGGGAGAAGAGCCCAGTCCCCACCTGCCTACAATCTCCCTTTGGGTAGCTGAAGAGAGTGAGAAGGTCCCCCCTGAGATGAAGGATCTTGCTACACCAGCTGCTGGGGAGTGAGGGCACAAGCAGCTCCTGGAAAGGAAGCAGATCACACACCACTTCACATGCTACCATCAAATTAACACCATGCCCACGGGGACCCTTCCATGTAAACCCCACAGCAAAGCTACTGGTCCAGTTCTGGAAGCCTTTCCTGCCATGGAGAGCTGCAACCAGCCCTTCAGGACAGCCCCACCAGCAGAACACTGCTGGAGCACTCCTGGGTGCATCTTCTCATCCTGCCCCAAGTCCTGCTTTGAAATATACCTCCTCTTCTACAACCAACCTCCTGGTTCACTGCAAAGGCAGCACTGCAGGCTCTGGTTGGCAAATCTACACCAGAGAGTGAAAAAGAGCAGCTAGTCCTCAGCAGAAGTAAGTTAGCAGGACACAAAAGGGGGGTCAAAAATTCAGGTTTAGTGTATGACAGGGATATTTAAGAAAATCTTGCATCAAGGTTGCCACTTTTGATGGGCCTGGCACTGGAACTCCTGAGTTTCTTTCCAACATGTAGCCAGATCTTCCAAGCGAAAAAGCTGGAACTTTGCCTTGACCACCCGAGCAGGAAGAAGCTTGAGGAGAAGCCAAGACCTGAAGTCAGGCAGTAATGATGCAGCAGCATGGCTGGTGTTCCATTCAGCCTTCTGCTGGAGGAGAGTGGCCCAGGACAGGAGAAATATGTTGCTTTTCATCCATTTGGCAATTCACACAAATGCCCAGAGAGTCCCTGCAGTTCCACAAGGTAAAATGCACACGGCCACACTTAACACAGAGGGGAATCACCAAGTTCAAGGTTCAGTGAGCCCTGAGACCAACAGGCAGAGCTACCTGGTTACGTGGATGCCATTCAGAGCCATCCATGGTCTCCAGGAAAGGGCTCTGCATCAGTCCTGCACAGATCACAGCCAGCACCAGTCTGCAGGATGTTCTTTACAGCCATGAAACCTTCAGGAAAAAAAGCCCTCTCTCCTCTCCTGTCAGCAGCAGGCATTCCCTGGAGCCTAACAAAACCAGGGCAATTTGGGGAAGCCAGCAGAAAACTGCAAGACTCATTTGTGCATTTCCCCCCACACCCCTTTCAGATCTCTCTCAGTTTAGAGAAGGAAACAAGGCTCCCTGTTTCACCCAGGTGCTGCTTTTCCCCTCAGGCCCTGAATTGATTTGAGTCTTCTTTTCTGCCAACACAAGCACCAGGTGCCCCAGTGCTGGGTGAGGATGTACCCTTGCCTCACAGCAGCTGCTGAGGACACATTGCTCCCAGCACCACACCTGAATGCCAAGTCACCACCGACTTGTTATCAAATCAACAAAGGCAAAACAAACTAACTCAGCTCCTAAATGCTGCAAATTATTGGGGGCTTAAAAAAAAACCCAACAAACCACCACACATTTTTTTTCTTCACTTGCTAAAATGTTTTGCTCTCCTGGATTCTGTGGGGAAACCCCCTGAGGAGCTGGTTGCTCAGGAAACGGAGAACCTGATGGCACACAAGGTGCTGGGACATGCACCAAGTCACCTGATGAAAACAAACCCCTTCCTCCTTTGCTCTTCTTTCTGCCAGCACAGGTGCTGCTGGCAGAGCACAGGGCGAGGGTTCTGATGCCAGGCCCTTCAGTGAGTGCTGCCCCCCCACGTCAAGGAAAACACGGGTGTATTTTGGAAATTCAGGCAAGAAATGCTTCCTGAAATGACCCTGAGCTCAGCTAAACCTGCAGCGAGGCCCCACCAGGAGCTGCCCTCGGGTGGGGGTGCTCTAGGGGTCCTGTTTACTGGGTACAAAGAGGGGGGCAGTGGGAGTACCCATGTGCAGGGCACAGGGAGGCCATGGGCAGTGGGCACAGAGAGGGGGGCAGTGGGAGTACCCGTGTGCAGGGCACAGGGAGGCCATGGGCAGTGGGCACAGAGAGGGGGGCAGTGGGAGTACCCGTGTGCAGGGCACAGGGAGGCCATGGGGTGCCGGGGCTGGGGGGGGGGCAGTGGGAGTACCCGTGTGCAGGGCACAGGGAGGCCATGGACAGTGGGCACAGAGAGGGGGGCAGTGGGAGTACCCGTGTGCAGGGCACAGGGAGGCCATGGGCAGTGGGCACAGAGAGGGGGGCAGTGGGAGTACCCGTGTGCAGGGCACAGGGAGGCCATGGGCAGTGGGCACAGAGAGGGGGGCAGTGGGAGTACCCGTGTGCAGGGCACAGGGAGGCCATGGGCAGTGGGCACAGAGAGGGGGGCAGTGGGAGTACCCGTGTGCAGGGCACAGGGAGGCCATGGGCAGTGGGCACAGAGAGGGGGGCAGTGGGAGTACCCGTGTGCAGGGCACAGGGAGGCCATGGGCAGTGGGCACAGAGAGGGGGGCAGTGGGAGTACCCGTGTGCAGGGCACAGGGAGGCCATGGGCAGTGGGCACAGAGAGGGGGGCAGTGGGAGTACCCGTGTGCAGGGCACAGGGAGGCCATGGGCAGTGGGCACAGAGAGGGGGGCAGTGGGAGTACCCGTGTGCAGGGCACAGGGAGGCCATGGGCAGTGGGCACAGAGAGGGGGGCAGTGGGAGTACCCGTGTGCAGGGCACAGGGAGGCCATGGGCAGTGGGCACAGAGAGGGGGGCAGTGGGAGTACCCGTGTGCAGGGCACAGGGAGGCCATGGGCAGTGGGCACAGAGAGGGGGGCAGTGGGAGTACCCGTGTGCAGGGCACAGGGAGGCCATGGGCAGTGGGCACAGAGAGGGGGGCAGTGGGAGTACCCGTGTGCAGGGCACAGGGAGGCCATGGGCAGTGGGCACAGAGAGGGGGGCAGTGGGAGTACCCGTGTGCAGGGCACAGGGAGGCCATGGGCAGTGGGCACAGAGAGGGGGGCAGTGGGAGTACCCGTGTGCAGGGCACAGGGAGGCCATGGGCAGTGGGCACAGAGAGGGGGGCAGTGGGAGTACCCGTGTGCAGGGCACAGGGAGGCCATGGGCAGTGGGCACAGAGAGGGGGGCAGTGGGAGTACCCGTGTGCAGGGCACAGGGAGGCCATGGGCAGTGGGCACAGAGAGGGGGGCAGTGGGAGTACCCGTGTGCAGGGCACAGGGAGGCCATGGGCAGTGGGCACAGAGAGGGGGGCAGTGGGAGTACCCGTGTGCAGGGCACAGGGAGGCCATGGGCAGTGGGCACAGAGAGGGGGGCAGTGGGAGTACCCGTGTGCAGGGCACAGGGAGGCCATGGGCAGTGGGCACAGAGAGGGGGGCAGTGGGAGTACCCGTGTGCAGGGCACAGGGAGGCCATGGGCAGTGGGCACAGAGAGGGGGGCAGTGGGAGTACCCGTGTGCAGGGCACAGGGAGGCCATGGGCAGTGGGCACAGAGAGGGGGGCACGAGGTGCGGCCTTGTGGCCTCAGCGGGGCTGGGGCTGCCGGGGTGCGGGTTCAGACGCCGCGTTCCCGTCTCCCTCCCCGATAAGCGGGGGTTGAAGCGGTGCCGGGGTCTCCCCTGGCCCCGTTACCGGGGGCTCCTCGTGCCCTGGGGCGCTGCTGGGCCGGGCCGGGCCGGGCTGCCCGCAGAACGAGGCGCCGCTGCTTCATCTGTCGGTAGCCTGGAAATACAATATATTTATTGATTGATCTGATACTGAGAGTCTGAAATACGTGTTGGGTTTTGCAGTTATGGAGCAAAAATTCGTGCCCCGCATGCCCTGGTGATGACGTTTCTGTTCAGGAGTGGAAGGTATGAGCCCCTGTCCTGCGTGTCTGTGTTTCTGCTGGGAAAGGTTTCCTTCAGACCTTCAGTTCTTAGTGTTTCCAGAGAGCTTAAGCAGCAGAATGATATGTCAGCCATGGGTGCAGCTGCCCAGGACTGCTCGTGTGCTCAACCACTTGTGCAAGGGTTGGTGAGCACCAGTGGGGGCAGGAGGAGTCAGGAAATGCAAACAGCAGCACTGACCCTTCACGTGAGGGAAGCCAGGCTGTGGCAGTGGCTTTCCCCTCTTGTGCCCCAGGCTTGAGAGAGGCAAAAAAGAAAATATCATGAAGGGGGGGGAAAAAAAAGCCTCCTTGATTATTAATAGCAGAATGCAGAGTGTGAGGAGCTGCTGGGTGGGTTCCAATGAGTGAGCCAGAGGGGATGGGAGGAGGAAGGGATCCACAAAGTGGATGTGCTGGGGGGTGTCCAAGCTGCCAGTCTGGACAGGCTGAGTGACTGTGGTGCCTTTGTGCTCTTCTAATTGTCTGTTTCTTTTCTTCAGTTTAAGAGAGAAGCTGAAGTCGATTGCTCAGGCCACCTACACCCACTCCAGGAACTTGGCCTATTTCGTGTTCACCTACAAGGGGCTGATGGCCCTGCAGTCCCAGCTGCAGGGGAAAAAAATTCCATTGCATTCTTTCTTTGCAGCCTGCATTGGAGGTTGGCTGGTGTTTGGTGAGAACAATCCCATCAACAGCCAGGTAAGTGAGTTGGCTCCAAGTTTCCTTGACAAGAAACCAACCAACCCCACGGGTGGGTGAGTGGGTGGGACAGGCTGGTTGTGGCTGGTGGTTCTTGCCATGGAGTGTTATTCTCTTGGTGTGTTTCTCTTTGTGTAAGTTCTGCTGCTTTTAGATCACAGGATAGTGGGGTTGGAAGTGACCTCTAGAGAGTCCAACCCCCTGCTAAAGCAGGGTCACCTAGAGCAGATCCCATAGGAACACATCCAGGTTTGGAATGTCTTCAGGGATGGAGACTCCACAGCCTCCCTGGGCAGCCTGTCCCAGGGCTCTGTCACCCTCACAGGAAAGAAGTGTTTTCTCATATTCAGGTTAAACCTCCTGAGCTCCAGTTTGTGCCTATTGCCCCTTGTCCTGTCCCTGGACACCCCTGAGCAGAGTCTGGCCCATCCTCCTGCCACCCCCTGGAGATATTGACCAGCACTGATCAGATCCCCCCTCAGGCCCCTCCTCTCCAGCTGAGCAGCCCCAGCTCTGTCAGTGCAGCTGCACAGCTGAAAGCCCAGGTTTGTTTCCAGAGCTGCCCTTGTGTGCACAGGCAGGTCACAGCCATGGGGTCACCCCAGCTGTCACCCCAGCTCTGCCCTGCTGTGGGGCTGAGCCCTCCAGCTTCAACATCTGTCTGTAAATAACAGTTACTGAGCTGCACTTCACCTACCTGGCTGAACTGCAAAAGCTGCTCAGGGCAAGTTTGGTTGCAACCCTCAGTCACAGGTTCATCTGTCAGGAAAACACCCAGATGCAGAGGAATTCCAAGTGTTTCATCTGCCTGGCAGGTGAGCAGGGCTGCTCTGTGACACTGTCACCTTAGCTGAGCAAAGGCAGAAATTGTGCAACTGCAAGGGAATGTTGCATCAAGTGTGACTTGGTGATTACTAAACCAGAGCACTAGCAGAGAAGCAGGAGGTTGAAGATACACACATCTCTGGTTATAGATGTGATGTGCAAACCTACAGCCCGTTTGCTGTCGAGTTGGGTAAATTGTTTCCACCCTTCTTGCCTGGTTTATTACTCCTACATCAGTTTACAAGGGCTTGTAGAGGTAGGACAAGGGGCAGTGGCCTTAAACTGGAGCAGGGTGGGTTTAGATTGGATATCAGGCAGAAGTTCTTCACAGTGAGGGTGGTGAAGCACTGGAGCAGGTTACCCAGGGAGGTGGTGGAGGCTCCATCCCTGGAGACATTCAAGGTCAGGCGTGATGGGGCTCTGAGCAACCTGATCTAGTTAGAAAGGTCCCTGCTCACTGCAGGGAGAGCTGGACTAGATGACCTTTGAAGGTCTATGATTGAAATCACCTGGCTAGCAGATCTGGTGAGGTTATTCACCTGATGTTCTTGGGGTTTCTCTCCATGCAGATCATCATGTACCTGCTGTCCCGTGTCCTGTTCGGCCTGTCCCGCCTGGCGGTGGAGAAAGGCTATATCCCACAGCCAAAGCAGGATCCATTCCCACTTGTGGCTGCTCTGATCTGGGGGACAGTTCTCTGGCTCTTTGAGTACCACAGGCAGACCCTGCAGCCCTCCCTGCAGTCCTCCATGACCTACCTGTACGACGACAGTGACGTCTGGCACGACGTGTCCGACTTCCTCATCTACAACAAAAGGACAGACAGCAAGTAGGTGGCTCCTGGGAAAACACCTTTGCCTGGGATGGTGCCTTCCAGCAGCTGAGGGAAAGGATTATACTCTATTGCTCTTGACTGGTGATTTGGTTTGGGTTTTTTTGAAATCAACATCTCTCAAGCACAATTGCTTCTTGTGGCCAGGCCAGAATGGTCTGAACAGTCTTCTCTTGGCTCTGTGTAGAGCAACTAAATCCCTCATGGACAGTTGCTGCAGTCTCTGAGAGTAAAATGCTGTGGGAATCTTCAGTTAAAAGAAGGATTTTTTTTTTAAAAAAGAGACCTTATGTGCCCTACAAGTATGTGGTTTTAACTAAATATAGTTGTAAAATGGCAGCCTGACAGTAAGTGGGGAGTATATCTAATCAGGGAAAAAGTGTTCAAGGGTTTGTCTGCATCCTCACAGGACAGGAGTGTTTTTCTCTGCCCCCTGAGGGGTAATGAGTGAGGCCTGCTCAGGTCTGAAAGCAGGGGGTGTAACTTCTTGATTTCTGTGGGTGACTGGAAACCTTCCTTAAGCTACTACAAGGACAGTTGTGTGCTCCTTAAGAGAATTTCTCTGCTGCATTCCCTCAGGGAGAGAATAAGGTGTTTGAGAATCAAACTTAAATTTCTCTGGTCAAAGCCTGGTAGATCAGGCTCAGAAGGACAATTTTTGCTCAGTTTCTTTCATGCACTTGGGCTTAATCTATCCAGCTGCAGAGTGTACTAATGAATACCCTCTGTTTGTTTTAAGCTTATTTGTAAAGTTTTTAAAAGCTGCTTGAACTAAATACCAAAACCACTTGCATAATTGAGACTCCTTTGGAAACAGGCTGGGGCACAGGGCACACCCTCAGCTGCCACACTGGCTGCTTTACAGCAGCAACACTTTGAACAAGCACTTTAATTCTGGGGCAAGATAAGCACATGGGCTTCTCCTAGGTCCAGAATCTATCCTCCACAGCAGTGACACGTGTGGGCTGCCATCAAACTTGGCTGTGTGTACCTGTAGTTGAGCCCACAGATGAACATAGGAGTGAATCTTCCTCCTAAAAACAACACACTGCTGAGCCCCAGGAATAGTGCAGCACACCCTGGGCTTGAAGGGAAGATTGACTGGATAGCTGAGAAGGAACAAAAACTGCTTTAAATGGAATAAAATCAAACTGCTAATAGTACAAAACACTTACACTGCCATATAACACTATAACATTCACTTAATGGTGTTCATTAAAATAATTCCTGACAAACTGGTTTTATGGGGTGATGTTGCAAGGGAGTCAGGGAGCACCCTGGGCTAACCATTCCCTTTTGTCTCAGTCAGGAATACTTGATTTGCTCCTTGTGTACCTCTCAGTTCAAGAAGGTTAGTTCTCCCTGTACCCATCTGCTTTTCCATCCTGAGCTGACCTCCTCATAATCCCACTGATGCTGTTCTTCATCCTTTGCAGTCTCTTTTTCACCCCAAGCTCTGGTAGTTTCTTGTGTTTAGTGGCACAATTGAAACAATACTGAAAAGTTCATGTAATTTCTGAGTTAAAAAAACCACAACAAAACAAATCATGATTTCTTAAGTAATTATTCCTGGTCCTGCTATTCTGCGTCTTCTGGGTGCTGCTTTGCTCTTTATTTTTCCAGTCTCTCTGTCAGCAACAAGGGAGAGTTAAGGCTTGTCTGTCTGGTGCTGCTTGAGATTGAATCATGTTCTGGGTGTCTTGGGTCAAGTAGGAACAGATTCCTCTGGCTCTGGGACTGAATCTAATGCTGAATCTTGCTACATTCCCTGTGAGATCTCACCATTCTTTTACAGCAGATCTTATTAACAAATTTAGCATCTCCAAGTAAGTTGTTTTTACATTTGCTTGATCAGAGCAGTAAATTAACCAGGGTATGGCATCATTCCTCAAAATCCTATCACAGTAGCTGTCCATGGCACCTCCAACTTCTAACATCACCTGTTGTTGCTGTTTGTACTGGATCCTTGAATTTGAGCACCAATCCATATTTAATCAGACAGATCCCAGGAGAGCTATGGAAGTTAGGAACTGGTTTATTTTTCCAGCAGTGAAGTATTTTTGTTTGGTTTAGAGAAGCCTGAAAGTTCAAGTACAGAAAAAAATACTGAAGCTACATGTGAGGTCTGATTTCTTCCACACAGAATCATAGAATGGTTTGAATTGGAAGGGACCTTAAAGATCATCTAGTTCCAACCCCCCTGCATGGGCAGGGACTTATAAACATCTTGTCTTTATTTCTAGCACTGCTGGATATCTGAAGCAGCACAAGTGCTCACTCCATTTTTATGTCAGAAGCCTCAAAGTTTTTCTAAATAAGAATGTTAACATGCTGCAAATACTGCTGAATTCCTGCAAGCTTTGAGGGGATTTTGGAAAACCCTTCCAGAATCTGGCAGCCATGGCTTGAGAATTTCTCCCTAGAACTATCAGGCTTGCAAATCCTTGATTGTGTATAATTGTTGCAGCAAAAGATGGTGCAGGGTGTTACATGAGCTGTGTCTTTAGGGAGTTTTAAGCTTTTTTAAGCCATAGGTGGCATTTCTTTCTCTTGGAAAAGCTTGAGAGTCCTTTAGACCCTGAACCAGTAACCTCAGATTGAACTTGGAGGAGAAATAGCTGTCTGATCTGCACTTGTTTGATCATGAATGTAGAAGTTTTGGGGGCTACAAAATTCAGTCCATGACTGACTGAGCAGGCTGGAATCGGGTGTCTGGGAAATTCAAATATATCTAGAAGGGCTTGGAGCAACCTGGTCTGGTGGGAGGTGTCCCTGTCTGGGCAGGGGGTTGGAACTAGATGATTTTTAAGATCCCTTCAACCCAAACCAGTCTGGGATTCTGTGATTTTCTTCCTGCTTGTGCAGCACTTCCCTGGCCAAGTGCAGGACAGCTGAGCTGTGTCTCTGTCCTCTCTAGATGGCAACCACAAGCCACCAGTTCTTAGTATCAGCCTGGCAGCAGTGGCCACCAGTCCTCTTGGTTCAAAACGCCCTTATTTTTCCTCTTGGGAATCTAGCACCAATCTCACTTCCAAAGCAAATTGTGCCTGAGCCTCAAGCCATCTGTACTTGTGATCCCAGAGGCAGCTGCCATCCCTGGAAGACAAACTGCAGCTCATCCCGGGTCCCGTACTAACCGGGCGTTTGCAGACAGTTGGTTTTTGTGCTGTGCTGGGGCAAGACCTTAAGCTGCAAGTCAATTCTTTCCCCAGGGAAGTAATTGGAACAGTTCTTTTAACAGCCCTGGCGTCCACATTGCTGTCCCTGTGAGCAGATAACTGGGAATGAACCCCTTCTGGTACCGAGGTGTTGGAACAATGCGGGCGTGTAGTAAGGAAGTGAACTAGAAGTAATTTGTCTGAGTCAGACTTTTCGGATACATAAGTTGCACTCCCTGCCCTCCCCCAGTGCATTGTGTGGGGAATGGAGTCCCCTGGTTGTGTTCCTTTTTTTTATTAGCATTAAAATCAAAAGAAACAAGAGAGACAGTTGGGAAGCCACCTGCAAGTCGGGCAAATGTTTTAAGAATCACAAAAGTGCCATTTCCTTAACCCTGGGCCCTGATAGGTTTTGAATTTTAAGATGAACATGGTTTTGTTTGTCTCCATCGACTGTATTTTACCTTGTTATTTCATCTTTGGCACCTGCCTGTGAGAGGCTGAGGGCCTCTGAAAAGGAGCAGAGTGTCTCAACATTTGGTTTGTCCAAAATGAGTATTTTGATGGATAAAACTGAAGCGTTTGTTTGAAAATGATGCTCCTTCAGATTTTCAGCCTCTTTTGGAGGTGGTTTTAAAGGTTAATGAATCAAACTGATCAAAAGTTTTCAGCAAGCCTTGAAGAGCAGGACTGACTCTACTGATTAATCATTTATTTAATGAAGGAACAAAGCAAGCTGAGGGTTATTTACTGCTGCTGCATGCTGCCCTGGCATACCCACTGTGCCCCACTTCTCTGTGGAGGGCAGCTCGTGTGCTGGTTCTGGCTGTCAGGGTGGCTGAAGAACCATTTCCAGGCCAATTACATTATTTAATAAAAGTGAAAATGAAATGGGGGCATGGCATTTGGTGTAGCTGAGATTTTACCGTGCTGTGTTTGATCCTTTTCCCCGAAGGGGAGGGAATTTCTGAAAGAAAAGCTTGTGCTTGGCCAATTAGTGCTGCAGAGAAGTGGGTGCTGGGAGGTGTGAGGTTCTGGTGACAATGTGCTTGGTCCTGGTCACTGTCCCTCTGTCTGGGCAGTCCCCACCCCTGCTCCAGCCTGGGGCAGGAGGGGAGGCTGCAGAAGAGCTTTGCTGTTGGCGCTGCCAGACTTCCTTGCCCTGGTAGAGCAGTTCAAGCTCTGCTTTAAACCAAGCTGGGTGAGGGGGCGAGAAGCACAGGGGTGATTTCTGGCTGCTGAATTAGACAAAAACCTGCTGTCTGTGGGGACCCTTGTGACTGCATGTGAAGATCCCAGTTGGGAGCTGGCACGGATGGCTGGAGCTAGTGGAGCAACCAGAACCCTGTGCAGATACCCTCACAGAGGGGAAAGTGCTGTGCCTCCAGCTCATTTCCACTGCGTCAGCACAAACACGACCTTTGGATGATTTCCCCCAAGCCCTGGGTTGTTTCCTGTTGGTCAGGTTGTGTTTGTCCTCCTGGACCATGCCAACCTGAGCAGCATGTGTGCAATTTTCTGACACTGTGTTTGAAATCCAGCAGATAAGGGAGGAGAGAGAACAGGGCGTGATGCAGTGTCATGTCTGTCTGCCACTGTTAATATTTTAGGGGGGCTAATCTTCAATTTTCAACCTGTGTGTTCCTACCAGATGGTTGGTAACTTGTTTGTTTTTCTGAGAAGAATTTTCATCTGTCTCATTTTCTTACAAAACTGGTGCTGAGGAAGGGGAAAAACAATTTCAATGCTCTGTAGGACGAGCATTATTACCTTGCTTTTGGTGAATATATAATTGTGCTGATAATTGCTGTGTAATCCAGGCCCTGATTTTCTGACTGTGTGAAGCTGAGAACATCAACTCAGGTAACTTGTAATGATGCTGATCAGGATGCTTGTAGGAATATCTCAGTTTGGGGTTTTCAAACCATGCAAAAGAGGGGGCAGAGGGTTGTGGGAGCAGCTCTGCCCACTCTGAGTTGACTTCTTGTGCAGCATCAAGCCAAGACTTCCTGCCAAACTCCTTTGCAGGATATTTCTGTATCATCACTCATGGAATTTTACAAACCCGTCCTTCCTGCATCTTAATAAAAAACTAATTTTTGCCTTTTTTTTTTAGTTTACTGTCATCATTATTAAACTAAAATACATGGAGCAATGCTTCCTGGTGCTGTAGGTAGAGGAGTCGTGCCCAGAGGGCGTTTTTGGCACCAGTTGTGCCCTTGTGTTACCAGCTGCTCCCCCTGCCAGGAGGTGACTTGGCAGCCCGGATTCCAGCTCCTTCCTTCCCTTGGGTGCAGGCTCCAGCCGACACCCCTTGCCCTGCCTCCGTCCCCATATCCAAGGCCATCAAAACCCACTGGAATTCCGCTGGGGAAATCCCACCGGGGCACAAAACCAAACCTTCCAGATCTCTACGGATCGCGGACCCGGGATTTTCCCTTCCCACCAGCCGGGCGGCTCCTCTACGGGGGGTGTCAGCCTCTTTTT